TTTACATGTTTAGCCTCTGATTCTGTTTTAGGCTAATTTTTAACTCAAGTATTTATTGAATTGTTATTATAAGGTACTAAGTTCGAAGAAAACCTAACCCCTGCCACTAGCTTAGAGTTGAGTTGAAATAGTTATCTATGAGAGATTATGGGATAACAGACAATGTGGAAGTTCACAAGAGGAGAGCCTTGTCAACTGAATATTTGCCCTGGAGGCCTTAGAAAGTCATATGTTTGGCCTTGAAAGAATTTAGAGTAAGAAAAGAATCAGGTTTTAGGTCAGAAGGGATAGGCTCTTACCACAGGCTCCTCACTGGTCATCTTTCTAAGGTCAAGTGCCTTATTTACCTTCCTAAAATGCTCATTTATGTTAGTTTACAGTGCCTACTGTATACAGTCTATTCTCTATAACCTGGCATTCGGGCCCTGGCATTCAGGGTCCTCTGCAGCGTGATCGGAACCCAGCTTTAAACGTTGTCTCCGTGTTTCCCCATACAGGCTCAGCCAGGCTGGTGTGTCTGCACAAGGAGAAGCCAAAAACACTCTGCTTCACCCGCCATTGTGCCTTTGTGTCCTTTTTCTGCGTCGCTGTTGCCTACATCCTCTACCTCCCCAAACCACACACATCCCAGCGTCCCACACATGACACCTTAGTGCAGGGCAGAAGCCTCCCTCAAGCTCCGGAAACAGACTGGTGGCTGCCAGGAAGGAAACACACACATGCTAGAGATGTTTATATGGAAGCCTTGGTGGTTGATCCAGCAGTAGAGGTGTAATCACCTATGTTCCCTTTGCTCTCATACCTCTTAAAAACCTGCACCACTTGCTGTTATCTTTGTAACTGCCATTCACTTAGCTCAGGGGACCGCTTTTACTCCATTGAAACTGATTATATCCAGGTTGCCAGTAGCTTAACAAATGAATCCATTGGACACTTTTTTTTCCTTCAGCCCTAATTTTTTTTTTGACCCCTTAGTATTTTTATTGACATGATTGCTCTTCTTTGAAATTCTTGTTCTTTGGTTTAGGAAGCACCATTTTTCTCCTGATTCTATCTCTTGCCTTCTCAGGGTCTTTCCCACTCCTGTTTGTCCACCTGTTTCTTTTTTTTTTGGTCACACCATGCAGCTTGTGGGCTCTTAGTTCCCCAACCAGGGATTGAACCTTGCCCCTCGGCAGTGAAACCACCTGTAGCAGGTGGAGGTAGAAAGTTGAATGGAGAAGGAACTGTGTGGGGAGATAAATGTTCAGGGAACAGTTGGAGTAATTGGAGCACAGAGTAGACTGATAGAGGATGACTAAAGGCAGAGTGGTGTAAGATCGTGGAAGATGGACACTAGGCCAAAGAGTTTAGATTTTGTTTGGCAGAGATTGAAGCACATAAACTTTGCTTAACAGGAGGCTAGCAGAGGAGCGTTGCAGATCAAGGAAGAGATTCTGGTCTGTTTAGTGTGAGAGGTGATTAGAATCTGACTTGAGCATATTCGCAGTAATAACAGGAAGGCAGGGGCAAAAACTGAAGCAGTACGTCATAGGTAGAAGCAAGAAATACTGTTGTTTACTGAGTGAATGTGGAGTAGAGAAGAGAGTCACTGGTCACTGTCGCCTCCTCCCCCCCTTTTTTTTTAATTTTGAAAAATGTTAAAGCTACAGGAGAGTTGAAGAATATTATACCAAGTACTCACACACCGGAAGTGTATGTGCCAGTTTGGGACAATCAATCTCAGGAGACTGGTATGACAGCTGCCACTTGGAAATCTTGTTTTTAATTATTGGAGATGCTGTAGCCGGTTGACGAATACCGCCCATTTCATCGCCCATCTCAGCAGATGGTAACACCATCCCTCCAGCTACTCAATCCAGAGGGAAACCCCTGTTTCTTTCATACCTGTATCCATCAGTCAGGAATCCCATCCATGTGGCTGTCAGCATTTCTCTCCAGAGTCCAAGTACTTCTTACCACCACTTCTGCCGCCAGCTTGGTTCATGTCACCGCCGTCTCTCACCTGGACTGTTGCCACAGCCTGGTTGGTCGTCCTGTCTTTACACTTGCCTCCCCACGGTCTCTCCTCAGCATGGCAGCCAGCATGATCCTGTTGAAGTGTCAGATCTTGTCTTCTGGTCAGAACCCTTCAGTGGCTTCCCATCTCTCTCAGTGAAAAACCTCTTTACAAACCTGTGGCCACAGTGGCTTGTGTTCTCTGATCCTCTTTTATGTCTCTGACCTCATTTCTCACTCCTCTCTCTCTCGCTCATTCTGCTCCAGTCACACTTGCCTCCATGAATACCCAGTGCCTTTGCAGTTGCTGTTTCTTCTATTTGTAATCCTCTTTCTCAGAAATCCTTATCTCCTTCAAGTCCTTGCTTAAATGCCGTTTTCTTAGTCTTCCTTTGATCATGGTATTTAAAATTGCATCCTCTTTGCCCACTCTCCCAGGCACTCTAATCCTTGTTCCTTGCTTTTTTGCTTTTATAGCATCTTTATAGTCTTTTAATGGTATGTAATTTGCATAGTTTGTTGTCCATCTCCCTTAGTAAAATGGAAGAGGATTTTTTTGTTTTGCTTATTGACGGATCTCAGAGTCTGGAACTGTACCTGGCATGTTGTTGGTGTTCAATAAAATGTTCTGAGTGACTGTTACGTGACTTGAGGAATATTTCAAGGATCACCTTCAGCTTCATGGAGGAGGTGATGTTGAACAGGGCCTGAGAGCAGTGAGGTTGACATGCTCAACCACGTTGGGCAGTGGGCCAAGAAAAAGGCACCTTGTCTAGAACGTCACAGCCATCACATGTTGTGATGAGAGTGGTTCAACAGATAGTAAAGAGGCTTCGTGTGGGAGAAGATCAGAATGAGGCTGGAAAAACAAGCAGAGGCCAGATCAGGAAGATGGAGAAGAAATCTAAGTCTCTCTTTGCTCCCTTGGAGCTTGCAGTCTAACAGGTAAGTAAACACACATGCAAGGGGATGTACAAACAGTAAACCAGCAATCCATTCCCACCTGTTAGAATAACTGTTATCAAAAAGACAAGAAATAACAAGTGTTGATGAGGATGTGGTGAAAAGGGAACCCTCCTGTACTGTTGGTGGGAATGTAAATTGGTGTAGCCATTATGGAAAATGTTATGGAGGTTTCTCATAAAATTAAATATAGAACTACCATATGATCCAGTGATTCTACTTCTGGGTATTTATTCAGAGGAAATGAAATCATTACCATGAAAAAGATATCTGCACCCCCAAGTTCATTGCAGCATTATTTACAGTAGCCGAGACATGGAACAACCTAAGTGTCCATCAGTGGACAAATGGATGAAAACGTACTCTTTCTTTATATACAGTGGAACATTATCCAGCCATAAGAAAGATGAAAATAATGCCCTTGTGACAGCATGGATGGGCCTGGAGGGCATTATGCTAAGTGAAATAAGTCAGAGAAGGACAAACACTGCATTACCTCACTTGTGTATGGAATCTGAAAACTCCAAACTCATGCATACAGAGAACACATTGGTGTTGCCAAAAGTGGGGTGTGGGGAGTGGGAGAACTTGATGAAGGGCATCAAAAGTACAAACTTACAGCTATAAGGTAAGTAAGTCCCAGGAAGCTAAGGTACAACGTGGTGACTACAGTTAGCAATACTATATTGTATATTTTTGAGAGTTGCTTATAGAGTAGATCTTAAAAGTTCCCATCACACACACAAAAAATTAAAACCAATATCCCAATGGAATATATAGAAGAGGACATATCTGGAGGTGGAGAACAAAAAAATATGGTTCTCTGATATCATCATTTGTGGAGAACAAATATAAATATGGTTCTCTGATATCAGACAATTATTAAATTAATTAAAGACAATGACCATTCCCTCCTAAAATCTGGGCTGCATGTGTTTTACTTTGATTGCTGATGGAAGTGATACTATATTGCATATTCCTCAGCACCCCCTTCTTCCAGAAAGATTACTCTAAGCAGAGGGCCTTCTTTCTGTAACATAACTGCACTACAGTCAGTCATATTTAATAAGTAAAACTTAGGAGGAGAAACATACAGTAAACAGATGTTTTTCCATTGTCTCCCTTAGACAGAATTAGGCTGCGGAGTTGGTTTTTGTTGGTTCTCTTAGAAATAGATATGAAAGATATGGAATAGAGCTGAAATAGATATGGAAATATTTCTTGCTACCTCATGCTTTATATTTTAAGCATTTCCTCCTATTCTCCCCTTCTGTATCAATCCTCTCAGTTGGCACCATTTCTTAAAAGGTTCCTCTAAGGTCTTGAGTATGTCACATTTGTGAGTGAGCATGTGAGCATCTGTATGTGGAGAGAGAGAGCAGGAGTGAGGAAGGTGCTGGTGTCTGGTTATGGGAAGTATCTCCTGTTACCATGGTGACAGCCCACATGGCCAGGGTACCATGTGGACAGAAACTTTGTGTGAAGTTCTCTTTGATTTATCTGCTCAGTCCCTGCCTCTCTCCATTCAGAACCCCCAGCATCACCCTTCCTGAGTTCTGAGAAAAATCTCACTTTACTCAGACTGTTTTCCTATTCTGTTAATTCCAGTGTACTCGTCTGATTAGGTACTTTATATAAATCCTCACTTTTGTTTACTCACCACTTTCTCCAAATCTGCTCAGCCTGTATCTGTTTTTTCCCCTGTATTTCAAGGCCATTTTTCACACTTTTTTTGAACCAAATACCCTGGAATACTTTAATCATCCTGTTTCCCACCGGGAGTTTTTACTGTTACATATACCTTTTTTGTATTTTCTGTCAGATGGTGAGACCTGGACTGAGGATCAATTAATTATAAAGCAGAAAACTCTTGAAGTAGGGACACGACCACATGAAGGAGATGAATGTGAACAAAACAAACATGAGGGACCCTATGAATATGGACGAAACTTCAGTAATATGTCAGACTTCATCCAGCAGTCATATGTTCTTATTGAAGAGAAATCTCAAATGTGCAACGTTTGTGGGAAATTATTCAGGCGGAATGCATACCTTACTCAGCATAAGAAAATCCACATGCAAGAGAAGCCTTACAAGTGTCATGAATGTGGAAAAGCCTTTGGCCATAGTTCAAATCTGTCTCAGCATCAAAGAATTCATACTGAGGAGAAACCCTATGAATGTGATGAGTGTGGGAGGGCCTTCCGGCGCAGCTCACACCTCATCCAGCATCGGGTCACCCACACGGGAGAGATGTCTTACGTGTGTAACGAGTGCGGAAAAGCCTTTGGCCGGAGCTCAAGTCTCCTCCGACATCAAAGAATCCACTCTAGGGAGAAACCCTATGAATGTACTGAATGCGGAAAGGCCTTTAGCCAGAGCTCACATCTAACAGAACATCAGCGAGTTCACACCAGAGAGAGACCCTACGAGTGCAGCGACTGTGGGAAAGCTTACAGTCGGAACTCACACCTTGTTGAACATCAGAGAGTCCATACAGGAGAGACTCCTTATGGCTGTAATGAGTGTGGGAAATCTTTCAGTAGGAGTTCACTCTTTTTCAAACATCACAGGATTCACACTGGAGAAAGACCCTATGAGTGCAGTGAATGTGGGAAGGCCTTTAGTTGCAACTCCTACCTCATTCAGCACCAGAAGACTCACAGTGGAGTAAAATCTTCTAAACATAAAGAATGTGGGAAACCTTCAAGCACAATTCATACCTTATTCATCACCTGGGAACCCATACAAGAGAGAAACCATAAATGAAGTGAATGCGGTAAAGCCTTTTGTCGGAGTTCAGCTCCGACATCAGAGAACATCAGAGAACTTGCACTGGGGAGAAAACCTTTGTCTGTAGTGAAGGTGGACCGTCTTCAGTCATAGTTCACCTTTGACTAAGAACTGAGAAGCCACACAGTAGACAAATCTCTCATGCATTCAGTGCATGAGAACCTTTAGACAGAATTCCTGCCTTACTCAGCATTGGCCAGTTCACGTTGGGGGAATGGTGGGTATGGGAGAGCCTTGCTGTGTGTCGGAAGGGGGTGCAAGAGGGGTAGAGTAACACCATGGAGGGGTGACTGAAATGGAACCTTTAGTTTGCATCTGTCAAACCTTTTTAATTGATCTTGAGGATCTACATCAGAGGGAGATTCTATGGTTTGTTTTTCAAATCTCTACAGTCATCCTCTGAAAATGGGATGAGTTAGGTCCACTCCAGGGAAGAACAAATCAAGGGACTTCAGACTCATGGATCAGGAAAGCAGCAGGATGACCCTTGAACCCAATAGTTTCCTTCTATCTCACCTGTCCTGTTGGTTGTCACTGTACATGGAAGTGGCTCTTGGGTTTTCTGGGGCCACCATTTTCGCTCCTCAGTATCCTGCAGACTACTGAATCTCTTTTTGTTTTATAAGTCATAGAAGCTTTAAATAAATGGGCCAGTTTTCTAAGCCAAATAATTTCTCAGTATCACATGCCATGGGCTTTGCTATGTGCAGAATCCAGGAGACTGAACCGCATGTGTCAGACTTCCCCTTTCTTCTGTTTTTCAGTCTGTCTGGGCTCTAGGGGAGATTCTTGGGACAGTTATAGGGCAGAAGAGAGGCAGCAGTGATTTTGTAGCTCACATGTGATATTGTTGCTGATCTGTTGACTCACCTCACTGGGGCTGGGCCTGAAACTAGTCTGCCTTCCCCTGGATTCTTCTTTGCCTTTATTGGGTCAGGGGTGTGAGTGTGTGTGTCTGTGTGTGTCTGATCATGGTTTTCCTTCTCTGATTGAATTCTAGTCATACACATGCTTTGCTCTCATACCCTTAAATTTTTTTTTCACCAGTTGCTGTTATCTTTGTAACTGCCATTCACTTAGCACAGGGCACTGCTTCTGCTCCATCGAAACTGATTATATCCAGGTTGTCAATGGCTTAGCTAATAAATCCATTGGCCTTTTCTTCAGCCTTGAGTTTTTTGACCCAGGCTAGATGGAAGGAGTGGTAGGAGGGACCTTTGCACTGGGAGTGGAACCAGCTGTTGCGTGGGGGCCCTATGAGCCTGCTTATTGATAGGTTCTGGTTGTGTTATATGCAGTAAAACTTCGGTTTGGGTAACTTGGGTTTTCTCTTTAGAGCCTGGGACCAGGGAAATACAGAACCCAGGGGAGTCAGAACTCTGAAGGTTCTAGCTGCAGCTCACGGGCTCTCCACTGACCCTTCCAGCCAATAGTTCCCTCTTCCCTTGTCTGTCTCTCTACTCTGGACCTGGGAAAGCACGAAAATGCTTCCTGAGGACACGATACTTACATACACTTCCTAAATTTCTGATACTTATGTACACTTCCTCAATTTCTGATCCTGGGAGGAGCTGGCTTGGCAGCCCCTTGAACACAGCCTTGGGACCCCCGCATAGAGGCATTTCCTATGCTCTGGTTGAAGAGGTAAGAAGAGTCTTTGGGCAAAGGGAGATAGGAGGAGGAGGAAGACAAATTTCCACAGTGGCACCCAGAGGTGACTGCTTTCATCCCCACAAAAGCCCATCACAGCCCTCAGCTTGAAATCAACAAGACCCTTCTCATCCCAGCTCTGCCCACCGACTTCTCCAGCCCTCTGTGGCTACCCCTTCTGCCAGTCATTCTGAAATTCAGGGACACAGTATTTTTCAAATGTAGGTCAAGAGCCACTCAGGCAGGGGTGGGGCCATAAAATTAATTTATTGTAATGAGTTGCGACCAGCAAAGGGTAAAAAAAAAAAAAAGTAGGCAGAACTAGAATTGACTAGAAAACATCTATCATAAAGGTAAGTCAGACTTTTGTCCTGTTTGTGCACAGTGGTGCATATGTACAAAGTACAACGCACAATAGTTCTTGCTGGAGAGCAGGTAAAAATCTTTGCACATTGCAATCCCTGTTTGGGCATAAGATTCTGTCTAGAAGGGCCTCGGCACATCTTCCCTTGGACTGAATTGTTCTCACTCTGTATTTCCCACAGCATGCTCTACTACTTTATGCACTGGTCACACTTTTAAAAAATGATTTATCAGTTGCCTGTTGGTGCTAGCTGCAAGCTTGGTGAGAGCAGGGACTGTGTGCGCCTCCCCTGACATCTGTCATTAGAGAAGGCACTTGTGTTGAGTGGCTGAACGATAAACCCAGGTCCAGGTTCTGGCTGTGTGTGTTCTCAGACAAGGTCTCTTTGTTTTTTTCTGACTTTTTACCTGATTTACATACAGAAAACTTGAAAGAGTAGACTAATGAACACCCTATATATCCTCCACTTAGATAAACAGTATTACCATTTTTCCATATTTGCTTTCTATTTACGTGTTCCCCCCCTGCCCCCCGAATCATTTGAAAGTAAGTTTCACCCTGAGTATTGGGTTGGCCAAAAGTTTGTTCAAATTTTCCTGTAACAGTAAAATCTGAACGAACTTTGTGGCCAACCCAATACTATGGCATGCTTTTCCTAAGAGTCAGATCATTCTTGTACATAATCACAAGACTATTAACATACCTAAGAAAAAGAATTAAATTCCATAATACCATCTAAAATGCAGTCTGTATTTAGATTTTCCTTGGTTGTCCCAAGAATGTGTTTTATAGCTAGATTATTTCAAATCAGAAAAAAAAATCAGGAGTCACATTACATTTGGCTTTATATCTCTTTATTTTAATCTAGAAGAGTCCCACCGTTGTTTTTTTTTTTAAATGACTGACTTCTGGAGGAGTCAAGAACAGTTATCTTTTATAACTTTCCATGAAATTGATTTCCTTGTTTTCCTGAGGTGGCATTAGCTTCCTCCTTACCCCCCTGTATTTTCTCTCAGCTGGAACAAGGTCTGGAGGCCTGATGATCCACTTCTGGCAAGAGCACCTCACAGGCGATGCCTCCTTCATACTGCTGTCACCTCAAGAGGCACATGACATGAGATTATTCTACCCCAACTAATACTGTTTGTTTACCGGCTTAAGGGAGTGACTGCCAGATCTCTTCTGTATAAAGATGTGCGTTTCTTTTGCAATTAGTAATTAAGGAGAATAAGCTTCAGCACCATGTGAAGAATCTATTCCTCCACAGCCTAATGTTTTTAGTAATTGTCCATGATTTCTTAGCAACCATTCATGTGATAGTTTGGACATGTTCTTAACCGGGGGCTCAGTTTTTCCATCTGTCGCCTGGGCATAATCATACCAGTGATTTGGATTTGCTGTATAATGACATTTAAAAGTGTGACAGGGTGCTGTCCTACTTAAAAGTATGAAGATGCTGTTACAGTCTGCCATAATTTTTCCCTTCTTCTGAGAACACCATCCCTCTTCCTTTTTAGAACGTTCTTTCGCTGCTCCAGATAAGTGGTCCGATATGATCTCTAGTGGCCTTGGCCTGCAACTGCTTGGAGCGAGGCTTGGATTCCCAGCCAGAGATTGCGGTAGCACCAGATCCTAGCCACTAGACCAGTGGTCAGTGACAAGGGCCCTGACCCTTTGGCTTTGCAGAAAAGAATTCCCACAAAGACAGAAAATAGTGAAACAAAGTATTAAAGAGGGGGAAAAAATACAGTACATGTTGACAGACTCAGGGAGAGAGAGAGAGAGTCAATGAGTGGCCCACTTGTGGCAGTTGGAATTACTTTTATGGGGCATTTCTTCCGGTTTTCCTTTGGCCAATCATTTTGATTTGCCTGGTCCATATTTGGTACATCTCAGGATCCTCCTGTGTGTGCACATGCATCTCTTAGCCAAGATGGATTTTACTGAAAAGGCATATGGATAGGGAACATCCCTTGGCATCACTTCCCTTTGGCCTCCAAGGAGCCTTTCTGTGCATGTGTGGTCAGGGAGGTCTTCTGACTTTAAGAAATGTGTTGTCTGGGCAGGGCCCAGCCTCCTTCCTTACATATCCTGCTATTCTTGTCCTGGAGTTTCTGTCCATTAGGAATGAATCTCTAAATCGCTTTACCCTGGGGGTCCCATCTGCCTCCTTCCTCAAAACCTTCAACTTCTTAGATTATCCTACATGCTTGGCCTCTGTGGGGCACAGCTGATGCATCTTCTTTGGCCAGAGTGGAATGAGCTTGTGACCAGAGCTGAGTCAGTCAGAATCCCTGGGGAACTGGGAACCAAGTAGGGGTGGGAATAGGGTGAAGAAAACATTCTTTTTTCCTGAGGGTAACTAAAAGTGAGGCTGTGAGTCTAGAAGTTGACTGTTTCCCCTGCCACCTGGAGAAGAACAGCCTCTGGGGTGGAGGGATCAAAAGCCATCTCTGAGAGCAGGGCAGAGAGGTCTCCCTGGCCTGGTTCCAGGCCTTCCCATCTGTACTCTGCCTTTCCCCAACTAAGCCAAGAAAGACCTGTCATGCCTGAGGCCTTACAAATTGGGGTCTGAACCTTATGACAGGTAGAATACTGATTATACAATGAGCCCCTCACATGATGTATGTTAGACGCTTCAGTCATGCCTGACTGCGACTCCATGGACTGTAGCCCACCAGGCTCGTCTGTCCATGGGGTTCCCCGGACAAGAATACTGGAGTGCCGTTTCCTTCTCCAGGGGATCTTCCCCACCCAGGGATCAAACCTGGGTCTCCCACTTTGCAGGCAGAT